AGATGACATTAAGCCTTGAGGAAGCATTAAAGGTCTTGAAACTGTACATTCATTTTTATTACAGCAAGAAAAATAATGCTACAAACAAACAAAATTGGTTAATAAAATTGAAAGATATATCAAAAAGTAAATTCATCAAAACGAACTACAATGGATAGCTATTTTAGTATTACTGTATTTAAAATATTGTGTATCATTTGTGACCAATGAAATTTCTTCTCTCTATAAATGCACACCCTTCATAAATGCACGCTGTCCCTTGGTCCCAAGGGGTGCAATTATGGAGGTCTGACTGTATGTGATCGACTATGTTTGTAAATCATATGATGTGGGACACCCTAATGCAATATGATATAAATTTAATTTGATATTCATGATTTAGTTTATAATTTTTGTGAACAGGTCAAACACCAATACAATCAATCCTATTATTACAACACTCATTATTATGAATTATTATGATATATATATAATTAAGAATCTATGCATTAATCTAATTTAACTCTATGTTTTATCATTTGTGTAGCTTGTATCAAATTATAATAAAACAAACAAATTATGATTATGTTAAAACAATGTCAATATAAAAATATAGTATAAATAATTTATTACTCCATCTTGTATACTAATGAGAGGCATTATATTCAATACATGAAAAAGATTTAATCCATTGTGATTTACATAGTGGTAATATACTTGTGGATGTAGGTAATTGTTATATTACAGATTTAGGACTATGTGGACCAGTTGATGAAAAATCATCAAATAAAATATATGGAATTGTAACATATATTGCACCCGAACTACTTAGAGGCAAAAAGAACACAAAAGAATCTGATATCTTTTATAGTGTTGGAATGTTAATGTGGGAAATATTTGCAGGTCATCCACCATTTGATGATAGAGCTCACAATCATTTTTTAATTTTTGATATATGTGCAGAAGGTTTACGACCACCGATATTGCCAGGAATGCCTGATGATTATGTGCAAATGATGCAGAGATGTTGGGATGTGGATCCATCAAAAAGATCAACTATCAGTGAGCCTTGGGATTTTGCTGATAATAAATCGGAAGAAATTCTTAAAAATGAAAGTTTGAAAAATCATAGTAAAAATAATAGTTTAGTAAAACCAAAAAACATGAAAATGGTTTTAATAATAGTAGTAATGTTAGTAATGATTCGCAACAAGCACACAAATCATATCCAGATGCATATCATAAAAGATGAAGAGATTGCTAAATCAAAAAGCTTTAAAAGTTATACAAGTAATGATATTTCATCAAATAATCTTGATTTTAACTCTCTTCTCTTGAATGCTGAAGGTGAATAAAATTTCATTATTAATTAATTTTGAAATTACTATCCAGTACTAATATTTTTATTTACATTTGATTGATTAATAAACATTAGATTCTACTAATTAAAAGAAAGAATTGACAAGTGACCAATTTAATATCCAGTATAAATTTATTCATTATAACTATTTATTATTTTTATTTCATTTTTTAAAGCTAAAATATGGTGATATTTAAGTATAGCCTTTTGATTATGGCTTAACTTTTGAGCTACCCTTGTCAATTAATTGCAAGCAATAATTCAGTAAAATCACTTTACAAATTTACTTTGGCTCTCGTTTGCTGCCTCTTTCTTGTACCTAGAAATCTTCGCCAAATATATAAGCATACTTAATGGTACTGAATAACTGTAAATAAATAAAATGGCTCAAAAGCTTCTACAAAGTTCCTTTTATTCACTTGTGACTGATTCATTTCAGTTGTTTAACCGATCAATTTTTGCTGATATTTTTGTCAAAACCAATTTTTCCTTATATCGAGTGCCAACTGTATTATTAATATTTGAACAAAATTTTACTGTGAAAATATTCTCTTGATTAAAAAAATAGAATCGAATAAAAATGGAAATTAATAATAATGAAATAATCAAAATAATTACTTTACACTTCCTCATACTGAAAACTCTTTAAATAACATCACAAATTATCAACACCGATATTTAAAACATGACAATCTTATTACGTAACAATTTCCACAACACCACCATTTACAACAACAGAATATCGCTGCCGCTACCAATATCACCGATACTATCGCAAACAACCACTATTGCCGGTGGCGACGCGAGAACTTGGACTCGACTCCATTATTAAATTATCCTTCTTTTTTTCTTGTGAAAACAATAATAACATGATTTGGCTTTTGACACGTCTTGAAAAACGAATTAATTAATCAAATGGAACAAAACAGAAACCAAAGAAATTTTCAAGCAACACTTTATCACAAAGTAAATGTTTTCAATAATTGCAACAAAATTAGTAATGATATACTCTTACAATCCTTTGGGCCAACCTTTTATTCGTGTAGAATGGTTATGAATGAAACCTTGTCAAGCTGAACAAATAAACTTTTGTTTTAATCAATATTAGTCTCTCGATACTTATTATTATAAATTTATAAGATTGGGAAAGATGATCATTGGAATCTCAATTGGTACTTTTTTGTTGAAGAAGAAAGCATCTTGGAATAATAAAAAAGAAAGATGCTGGTATTGGGTTGAGTCAGAAACTAAACATTACAGGGAACTCAAATCAGCAAAAACAATGAATGAAAAAGGAATCATTTGGAACAAAATCTCCGATAAACATCTTATCGTGGTAAACAAGCTTGTAAGGCAAAAATCCATTTCAATCTGATTGGTTACAATGTAAAAAATTAGGACTGACATAAATAAAAGCTATTTTTTTTTATGATGAGATGTCCCGTTGAATTCTTTTCAAATAAACGCGGAGCTTTTGAACAACAAATGTAAGCAGAGGAATTTATAAATTCTCTAGTTGGTGCTTTAAATAATTTTACAGATATAATGAAAGTCATTTAAAATAATGAAATATAAATCGAGTTTGCATTTTGCTGAAATACTTTTTCTCCTTTAACTTTTAGTTTCTGATTCTTCTATTTCATTCCCAACTTGTATTCTCCTTGTATTCATTATTATAACAATGATGTTTGGGTTCATGGTGAAATTAATCATAATGGTCCCGTGACTCAAAATCTGACCAACAAAGTTGAGTATTGTTTTATTAAAACGCGTACGTAACACACGTTTATAGGCGGATCGATCAGATTGTACATTACTTTTATGGCATATAACATCTGGTTTGACTCTTATTGAGGTTCATTGGTGGGATGGGTTTTTTGAAGAGCTTCCCCTGATTTCAAACGCAGTCAGCAGATCTCTGGCGTTAAGAAGAAAGCTTGATTTGTTATTTTCCGTTTAACCATTATTTCATCGAGAGATATTCCCAATTGCAATTGTTTATCATGTGTTTGAAATATTCATGTACAGGTTATTAGTCTTTTATGTGATATTAGACAAGTTAAGAAATTAATTTATTACAAGGAAATTTTTTAATAAAAAAATTCATTGGCAGCTGGGAGCCCAGCAGCAGAGATCATCATCATCTGTCATTGAGGATTAACGGCGTGCATAGAGATGGAAAGGATTATTCTATTGGAAACTTGGAGCATAATATTTTAGATCAGATCGGGTATTATTTATTTATTTTCAATTGTTGCATAATGACCAACTTGGAAAATTTTTTAAAAGGACTATTCTTCTTTAAAGCATCGTAGCGACCAAGTTTCATCACTTCTTTGTTAATAAAAAAATTTGTTGATCATTTTCTAATTCTAGCTAAAAAGGCAGTACAATTATGTTTAGGAAATGTAGCATGAATGAACAACTCTCAGGTATCAAACATAAACACCCTCCTTATTGATATAAAGTTTACAATCAATTACCTTGTGATAACGTAATTGGATTGATCGATCCAAGGTTTCAACTTGAAGATCATTTATTTGTAAAGATAATATTTCTTATGTAACAATTATTACAAAACAAGAAAGGCCGTCAAAGAAGTTAATATAAACAAATTTGGGAAAAAATTTTATGCTAGAAATGTTGGATTTTCGCCATTGATTTTACTCCTATTTAATAACACTTTTTTCCTTTATTTATTTTCACCTTTTTCCAACATTAATTCCATAATTTCTTCTTTTCTCTTTTTTTTATATTAACTTTTTTCAATAATAATCGAGCAGTTATAGACTGGTTCTATACTTTGCAATATACATAATATACATACATTCATTAAATTTCATCATAATAAAAAAAACCATCAATATTAATTAATATTTCAAATATATATTTTTTTTTTTAAAATGAAATCAACTAATTTCTTTTCTTTAACTTTGATCTTTATTTTTTTCATTATTTTCAACAACAATCCTATTGTTTCTGCCGTTGAGTATGAGATAGATTTTAGTTATACGGGTGAAAAGGCACCGGAATTTTGGGACAAATTATCTAAAGATTCAAAAATTTGTACAACTGGTAAACTTCAATCACCAATTGATATCACATCAGAACTATTATTAGCAAAGAAATCAAAAGCGCCAAAATCAGACTTTCAAGATGCTTTAAATGTCGAATTCATTAATAACGGGAATACGGTAGAAGTACTCCCTGGCAAAGGAAATAAAACCTTGCCGGCTACAATCTTCAGTAGCGACGATGGTACTAAATATCAATTGGATCAATTTCATTTCCATACACCTTCCGAACATCGTGTCAATGGTGCACATTTCGATGTTGAACAACATTTAGTATTCAGTAAAGTTGAGGGCAAAAACCCAAATGAAATTGCAGTCGTTGCTGTTTTCTACAACATCGGTGATGAAGAAAATGCGTTTTTGAAACCACTTGTCGAAAAAGTAAGCTTATTTCAAAAGAAATTCTAATAATGCATACATATATATTATATCTGTGCGTACACATTTATTTATCTTTTATTTGTTTTGAAATCATCTAGATTCCAAAGAAAGTCGATGAAAAGAATGAAATTGAAAAGGTTGAATTAAGTGCATTGGTAAAAGACATAGATAACATTAAAAACGTAAGTAGTAATAATATTTATTTGAAACAAGCAAACAAACAAACCATCATGAATTGTAACTTATTTCATTTCGTTCCTTAAATATAAAGGCATTCAATTATGGTGGCAGTTTGACAACACCACCATGTACTGAAACCGTTGAATGGTATGTCAACCAGAAACCATTATCACTTAGCATAGAACAATTTATAACGATGCGCGATGTCATTGGTTTCAATTCACGTTTCACGCAATTAAGAAGTGACGAATCCGTTATTAAGAAAAGGTCATTTCCAAGGTTGAGAAGATTTTTTAGACGATAGAATAATCTATTCATACATAATAAATATTTAATAAATTTCATGCATTACAATCAATAAATTTAAATAATTTTTGGAAAATTAATTAATTGCAACCATCATATTCATGCAAGAATTATTATTTTTTCCTTAAACTGAAATGTACCAAACATCTGTCAAATTTTCCAAAAAAGTCTTTTGTTTCACATCACAGAACAATCCATTTGCATGCATGCTAATACTTACTAATGCTTATTCCCCTGGTTATCAAGTAACACAATGTAACATCACCTGTCAATTGTGAATAGGAAACCCATTAATTGTATGAATCCGAAATGTAGACATTAACAGTAATAGTAATAGTAATAGTAAATAGTAATAGTAGTCGAAATATATCCAAAATTATTCGAGTTCTTTAAACTAAAATAAATCAAACAGCATTGCTATTTTGTGTTCATTCATATAAGAAATGTTTGAAATTAAAAATAAAAAACCAATTTTTTAATAATTGTCTTGCGACTTCTTCGTACCCGTACCACGTAATTATGTAACTGTGGTCAGGATTCTTACTTTTTTTTTTGTTTTTTTTTACTTCTTTTTCTAAAGATGTTCTTCTAAACACTATATGGGAATTTTCTCACTGTTGACAAATTACGATATCGTTTGCTGCTTTTCAAAAATAATAAAGGTTCATTTTGGTAAATTATTATTTTCGATTTTTACATAATTAATTCACATTTATTACATAATTTATAATTAATGAGTATACTATAGAAAGAGCTTCTAAATTAAAAATGCAGTATAATGATGTTTTTAAAAACCCGTCTTCTCCATGTGTTTCATTATCATTACCATGTTTTGGTTGATCATATGTTAATAATAAATTTAAACAAGTCAATTTCGTGATTTTCTTTGTTTGCACACTTAATGGTTCCCACATTGTATCCTATACATTTCTATTTATTTTTCTTTCTCCTCTTCCTCTTTCTCGTCCACTTCTTTCCTTTATTGATTTTTTTTTATTTTTAATTGACGATCCGCGAATGAAGTAGAGAGAATTCTTATAGTGATCGGCGGTGCAAAAATAGTAAAAAATCGTCAGTTGACAATGTTTTGGTATTACAAACTTTTATTCTTTTTATGTAAATCTCTCAGATTATTATTGTATCAAAATATTAAAGCGATTGGAATGTTTCTTGAAAACTTTTATACGTAGGAAGCTGAGATTTCAAGAAGTTCATAACATATAAAAATTTGGAATTTTTTAATTTTCAGCCAACACTATCAAGTATTCTGACCAGAGCCATACATTTTTTTTTATCGGTTTATCAACAAAAAAACTTTCATTTTACCCAAATGAACCATATGTTTGTTATAAGTCATGTCAATAAAATAACTGCAAAAGAATTTTAAAGTAGTATTCAACAATCTTGAAAGAATTCTAAGGTTGTTCTTTATACTTTTTGTGTAGACACGAGATTAACGTGTGAGTACGGTGAGATTAAGGTTGTGGGCGAAACCTCTTTAGTAATTACTGAAACCACGGCAAAACTATATTAAATCTTATCAAAAATCCTGTTGAAACTATCGCCGAAATGGCAAAACCACAAAATGCGAAACTCTAATAAACAATTAAATGTGTAACCTGCCGAAACCCTGCTGATTGATTTCTGGAGGAGTTTCGGCAGGCAACCTTTGGGAATTTTCTTATTTTATTAATAACAATTAGCACCAAAATTTTATATTAAAATGTCGATCATTTCCCTGATTCATTCGTGAATCAGCAATTAATAAAGTTCCAACTCCGTCAGTTTTAATCTTACTATTATTAGATAATTTATAACCAGTCTTAACAATTTGAGACCTAGATGGGGAAAACCTTCATAAAAATCTTAATAAATATCTATTGTAATATACTTGGATCTTAGTTCTTAATGGCGAGGCATTAAATAAAGGAAATTATTTTCTTCATAAAGCTCACCTAAAGCAACATACGATTTAACATATTGTCATAGAGTTTAGAGTCTTTAGAGTACATATTAAACGGGTAAGCATATTTCTAAGTCTTAAAAAATAAAAATGAATTTTTCGGAATTTTTAAAAAAATCTTCGCCTCGAAAATTGGCTGCAATGGCAAGTTCTAACGACCTTTGTGGTATAAGTAAATCATGCGTCTTATGTTTAAATCTAGTTACTTTTAAAATTCTATATCATTTGGTAAATTAATTAACAAGAAAAAAATTAAAATTTTACAAAACAATTCAACCTCAAACTGTTCACCAATTTAAAACATAAAAGACATCAAAAAATATATGAAACTGTTTTAAATTAATTGTATTTTATTAAAAAAAAATCAATATCTTGTCGGAAAAATCTTGTAGATAGTAATAATATGCCATGTAGAATTACAGCAAAAAGAATATTATTTTTGTGGGAGAGTGAATATAATAAATGGATAACATATTTTTAATATGTGGAATCAGATGAAAGGCAATCCAAACTAGTGAATAGTTTTGGTTTGTTATTTGATAACAAGAATATTTATTTATTATTGTCAAAACTAGCAAATATTTAAAATCAATCTCATATTAGAAACTTGCAATTTTTTATATATTTCTGTAGGTTTCTATATTTATCTTTAATCATCATCTCTGCCACAACTTGTAAAGTTTCTCAATTTAATTATTGTAATTATTGTCTATTTAATGAATTCGATGTCATGGATTCACAAACTTCAATTCTTTGACAAGACATTTCTAAATAGTCAAGAACATCAGGTTCTAAAGCCTGTAAGCTTCAATTGAAGTATTTTTTTACAAATTTTAAAAACCGTTGTTCTTATATATTCATTCATTGCATTATTACTATAAATTAAGCCTCTAATTCAGGAAATTGGTATTTTCTCAAACCAGTGCTTTCAGGATTATCTTTACAACCAATTGTGGCAAACATCAAACAATAAATTATTATTACGCAGCTATAGTAACAACAGTGGGTAATAATACTACTATTAGTAATATTTGTTTCTTTGGGGAGAAAAACTCACAGATCTATGATAATAGCAATAGATGATGATACTTCCATTGGTAATATTTATTTACTTAAATGAATCTATGGTTAAACAATGAATGGCCAACTATTATTAATGAACTTTGTTGTCATTATTTAAATCTTATATGTCCATTTGTTAGAAGGATGTGAACAATATAAAACAAAATTATTAAACTACAGATAACAGCTAAGTGTCAATAAAGTTAAATCAAACTTCAATACAGTGAACCTCCTAAGTGCACCCTCCCTAAATGCACGCACTATGTATACCCTCCATAAATGCACGGCCCATCTCATCCCCAAGCTTATAGAGAGCTTATAAAATCACCCTCCATAAATGCACACCCTCCATAAATGCACGCTCACAAGAAATAGCACTATGTTCCTGAGGGGGGTGCACTTATAGAGGGTTCACTATACATCTAAATAAGTTGAATTAAATCTATCTAAATCAATGATGAACTTGGTGTTCCAAGAGAAGGTGATTCAGGATATGAATGTGTGATTTCCTTTATGACTTTCTTTTTCTCTGGTGTAATTATCACTTTAGATTTGTATACCTTATTGTCTTTGGCAATTTTATTTTCTTATTCATCAACTTGACAGTCTACAAGACATCCATCTATGATATGAAAACAAATTACCATCAATTTCATCCAAAGAGCATCAATAAATATTTATCATCACTTCATTACCTGAAAATCCATAAGAGTTGCCACATCCTTAGTAATTGCCCCATATCATTGAAAGTAGTAGGTGTTTTAAAGCTTACAAACTCGTCATACAAGTATGTTGAATGGGAGGACATACCTATACATGAAGTCAAAACTATTTCAACCAGTTGCAGACCTGGTCGAAATAGGGTCGAAATAAGGTCAAAACTGATTTTTACTATGTAGTTGCCTCAAGTCGAAACATTTTGACTTCATGTATAGCTGTACAATATATTTTATATTAATCATTCCATCTTATATGAAAAAAAAAAATGTTAAATAATCATGAATCTTTTTATTAACTAATATTTTATGGTGATACTCACTAATGCTTTGAATGGTGTAAACTTGTGCATCCTTGCATGGGACTTTATCAAACAACTTATTTAAAATTCATTTAGTGTTGTGACACAACTTCACTTTATCTTCAGCATCTTTGTCCATTGGGGCATATTGGCCAAATGAAAACTCGATTATTATTATTGACTGACTATTCTTTTTTATTTGGAAAGCTTTCCAAACACCATCAAATTTATGGGATTTTGTATCAGCAGTCGATATTTCTATTTTGAATTAATAAAAAAAGAGAATTAACCAACAAATATAACTCAAACTATTAGAAACTTACAATTGGCATTTACCAATTTCCATCCAGAACGTCTTGATGCATCCTGAAAAGTCTATTTATGACATATATAATTGTATCAACTGCATAAGTTCTTTCCAGTTTCCATGCATTTGAATTTATGTTACTTGGTGCTTCCAAATGCACTGAACTATTATTGATTATTGGTATTAGCAACCATTTGAAGAATGAGACTGTAATTTCATAAGCAAAAATACTTACAAAAATTTCATTATTTCTTGAACAATATCATGTTGTGAGCATGTAAAATACAGCTCATGATGTGTCCAATAAAAATAAGATAAAATACATATAAAAGTCCAATATATAAATCTCCCCACCTTTGCACATAACTAAGGGTTCCCGATTCCCAAGGCCTCCTCCATCTTTGCACACAGCTAGAAGCCTTCCCAAAATACTCTATACTGCGCAGTTCCTACTCTACAGTACTAATGGTAAGTAATGTTGGCATTAGCCTAAGATAATAAAATAAAAGAATACATACAAGAAATATTTACAAATATACCACTTGAGGCGTCCCTACAGGCAGCATAGAACAATCAAACTAGGGGGTTCCTAACTAATGATTAGTGGCCAGACCACTAATCATCAGAGAGGGCCATGGAACAATTCAC